GTGACTTGTTTCACCCAAAAGTGCTTATGGCTGCTCTCATCACTATATCAACATTAAAATATTTCCTTCCTCACCCCCCCCCCACAATCAGCCGGACGCGTCCAGCAGACATCAGGGGTTTATTAGATTTTATTACTGGACGTTCTTATGTTCTCAGAAGCGTTCAGTTCTCCATTTCCAATGGCTGAACCAGGCGATGCGAGGATTAGGGTGAGCAAAAATGAGGCTGGTTTGTTGTGTCAGAGGTGAATTTGGACTCCTTATCCAAGTGGGGAGCGCCCAGATCTACTGGAGGTAAGTGACCCGACCTTAAATCGAAGGGAAGGATAATGGAACTGGATAAGATTTTGCACATCAAACAATAAGAAAAAAATCCTGTTCTTAACTTTCCTAATTAACAAAGGACAGTAAAAGAAAAGATCTGTGTTTTTAGGCGATCCACAGAGGGGTTACAAATGGTTAACTGAGAGCCCTGGACAGTCAGTATGTGTCCGCCTGTGGAAAACACTTCATTACAGGTTAGTTAATGCTGTTACTGAGTGAATGACATGTGAGCAGATTGTGTCTGTAGATTGAAAGAATCAGAAAAGATTCTCAGTGATGTGGAATTAAAGGTTTTACATGAAAAATAAGATCTACCTAAAACGGCTGTTTTTTAATGAGTTTGTTTGACAGTGCGGAGCAACAGTGTTTTAACCTAAATAATTCACATAGAACTGAGCAACCTAACCTTCAATAATGAACCTTATAAACTGTATAAAGTAAAACACAGGAAGTGGAGATAAAACCCATGTTTTCTTCTGCTGTCGGCTCGTATTAAAAGGTCGATTAATGAACACAAACAGCGGTTCTGCTTCACCACAGCGATGGAATTAGTTGACAATAACGTCACGTTGAATTCAATAAAGTAGTTGTATTTGTCAGGACACTCATCAACAACTATTTCTTTATTTTTTCTATATAACAACGCCAATCGTTGATCCTAATAGCTAGAAAGCAATACAGGCTGCTCTCCTCGAAAGCTGTAGCCATAGAAAACGTGACTTCTGGGGTTTGAATATTAAAATATGATGATTATACAGGGTTTGGAAGAAGCACATAGCACCATATTCTGCATATGTAATGTCACACATAAACTTTTTGGGAAAGAAAATCGGCTTTTTTTGAAGCTACTTATGAGGAAATGTAAGGGCAGATCAGCGTTTCACACTTTTTCCAGACTCCCTGAATACAAGTTGTGTGCGGACACTGAGGGTCCCTCAGAGAGCGGAGGGTGTAAAAAGCTAGCATGTAAGTGTGGATGACAGCGAGGAGGATTTCTCAATACGCAAACCCCGGTGTGGTGTCGAACACCTGGGGGACGCTGTGTACTGCCTGACATCAAAGAGTACACACACACACACACACACACACACACCACACACACTGAAAGCATACAGCCCTACAGTGGAGACGAGCACTCCTTGTCCTCTACTGATGCGGCCGTGCTTTCAGACGCAGCATCTGGCACAAATCTCCCAGCAGCCAGTTCCCTGGGTGACAGTCAGCGGCAGTG